CAAGGTAGAATATGACCAAATAATACAAAAGTGGTTTCAAATTATTTAGATATAGGTGAAAAACAAGGTAGGCCACAACTTAACCTATTTCATGCTACTTGAAATACTTTCTGATCTGCCTAAACACAAATTCTACTCATTAAGGTCATGCAGAAGTCCTGATTTCATAAGAACTAGGATTCTACATTGAACTCCTGGGACTTAGCCTAAAACTAGTTTGTGTCCACAGAGTCAAAGCCTGAAAAACATTGATAACTGCAAACATTCTTTTAAAAACAAAGTTTACTTGTTTGAATTATAAATATATACTGTCAGCAATTTAGAAAATAGAGTTCAGAATATTTTCTTTTCCAACTTCTTATATTGAAAATTTTCAAACCAACAAAAATACAGATAGAGATTCAGATCAAGGGTCCTCCCAGTTACTTATGCTGTCACAAATTTACTCAGCTTCTTGGCAGTCAAAGTGAAAGGAGAAAGCAGCCAGTTTTATAACCCACATTGCCTAAGGAGAAAACATCAGTTACTCAACGGTAGTCAAGTGTTTCATGACATTTGGCTAAGAGAGAATGCTTTTCTGTTCACTTGAGAAGGAATACAAAGCAGTATCAGATACAACAATCCTATAATAGCTGTATTGGTGAGTTCTGTAAACTGTGTCACCCAGAAACCCTCAGTCTTAACATAGGGTATATGCTATGAACCCTAGGGGTTAAGGGCATGTATTCTAGAACCCAACTATCTAGGTTTGAATCCTGGCCCCATCACTTATTGTGTGACCTTGACTAAATTGCTGACCTTTTCTGTGCCTTAAGTTCCCTACTTTATGAAGTTTTATGATGAATAACATCACCTACTTAAAGGGCTGTTATGAGGCTTAAATGAGTTAATACCCATAATGTACCTAAAATAGTACTTGGCACATAGTAAGCATCATCATTATTACAGTAAATGCTAAAATAAAGGCGTGCACATCATGTAATATTACAGAGGAAGAACACTTACATCAACTAAGGGCCTAAGGGAAGGAAAGAGGATGCCTGTGCTAGGTCTAAATCTTGGTTTACTACTTCACTGCTGTTAGTATGACCTTGGCCAAATGCTTAAACTTCGTATCCCTACCTGCTAAAACACAGATACAATGTCAGTTGTTGCTATGATAAACTGATAGTTATAAAATTAAATGAGATGATACATGAGGATTAGATGAGCAAATGTAATGGAGTAGGGAGCATCGCATGTATAACAAATAATTGTTTTACTCTTGGATCTGGGGGGAGAATAAATACATTACTCTTGCATTCAACTTTTTTGTTGTTGTTATCATTAATCTACAGTTACATGAAGAACATTATGTTTACTAGGTCTTCACCAAGTCTCCCCAACAAACCCCATCAGTCACTGTCCATCAGCATAGTAAGATGTTGTAGAATCACTACTTGTCTTCTCTGTTACACAGCCCTCCCCATGCCTGCCCCCCACATTATACATGTCAATCGTAATACTCCCTTTCTTTTTCCCTGCCCTTATCCCTCCCTACCCTCCCGTTCTCCCCAGTCCCTTTCCCTTTGGTAACTGTTAGTCCATTCTTGGGTTCCGTGATTCTGCTGTTTTGTTCCTTCAGTTTTTCTTTGTTCTTATATTCCACATATGAGTGAAATCATTTGGTATTTGTCTTTCTCTGCCTGGCTTATTTCACTGAGCATAATACCCTCTAGCTCCATCCATGTTACAAATGGTAGGATTTGTTTTCTTCTTATGGATGAATAATATACCATTGTGTATATGTACCACATCTTCTTTATCCATTTATCTACTGATGGACACTTAGGTTGCTTCCATTTCTTGGCTATTATAAATAGCACTCTTGCATTCAACTTTTACATGTATATTTTTCCCAATTAAACAGTGTACTTAGTTTAGAAGTAGTTGTACACAAATGTTTGTTTATATTACAACAAAACTACCTAGAAGAAATGGTAAATAATTAGCATTGGCTTTTTTTGTATCACTATGGAAATGCCTTGGTATAGATATGACCATTTTTGAGGCACATTGTGCTTATCTGAGAGAGGAGGTAAATATAATACCTTGATTTCCCTTAGGCAAAACTGGTTGCTCCTACATCTGTATCACTTTATATATGCCTTAATTCACTTCACACAGAATTCTTTTATAGCATGTAGTATCTTGTTATACACATATAAAGTTGCAGTTCATTCAATTTATCACTTGCTTTGTTTAAAACAGAACTATGGCAATTAGTTACATATTTATATATTTACCTCCCTTCCAAAACAGTTATTGTTTCTCAAATAACTGTGTCTTATCCATAGTATCTGAACAGAAGCTGGCATGTAATATACTGACTCTTAATGTTTGGTGAAATGATCTCAGTAGGATTTGAAATGTGCTGTTATAAGTAAATGAGTCTAATACAAAGTGGAGGGAGGGTTACTTAGGGTTTTATGTGGGGGGAAAAAAAGGCTGGAGTAGTTAAGTGATTTGCCCAAGATTATCTAGGTTAGTTAATGGCCAGAACCAAGAAAAGAATCTCAAAACTCCATCAACAATTCAGAGACCAGTCCGCTATACTAACCTGCATTTCAGACCCCAGCAATTTGGTGTCTTTCTCTACTACCTCACAAAAGCTGCTATTGTTGGTTAAATCCAGTCAAAGCTTTTCAACCCTTGATATACTGGACCCACTTGTGTTCTCTGATGCTGCTGATTCCCTTGCCATCTTACAATTCTTTCCTACCTTGACTTCAGAGGCACTATACTTAGCTAGGTGTTGACCTTTCTGGCCATTGTTCCTCAGACTTCTTCGTGCGCTTTTGTTCATCTGCCACTCCTTTACAAAGTTAGTGCTTCCCAGGGCTCTATCCTTGGTCCTCTTTATTGTTTCTTTTATATTTTCTCCCTGATTAATCTCATCCATACCTAGAAATAGCGCTCTTATACTAATTATAAGTTAATGTCCTCCAAATCTTTTTTTAAATTTCTCATTCATAAACTTGTGTAACTCGACGGCTATTGGATATTTCCCTTTGGATGTGAAGGTTCCCTTGGTCAAGTCGGTTGCACTGTAGTCTTTAAGGGAGCCTGATACATTGTAGTCTTCTTTTCCAGATTAAGGAGGCAAGAGGCCGGTGACACTTTACTACTTACTGTCTTAGCTTCCTGTTGCTGCTGTAACAAATCAACACAAGCTTAGGGGCTTAAAACAACACAAATTTATTATCTTATAGTTGTGGAGATCAGAAATCCTAAAATCAAGGTCTTGGCAGGGCTGTGTTCTTTCTGGGGGCTTTTGGAGAGAGCCCTATTCTTTGCCTTTTCCAGCTTCTAGAGACTACCTGCATTCCTTGGTTCCATCTTCAAAGCCAGAAATGCAGATTCTTCAAATCTCTTTCTCTCTGACCTATGCTTCCATCATCCTATCTCCTTCTCTGACTCTGAACCTCCTGCCTCCAGCCCAGACATATAATCCAAGATAATCGCCCTATCTCAAGATCCTTAACTTAATCACACCTGCAAAGTCCCTTCTGCCATGTAAAGTAACATATTCACAGGTTCTGGAGATTAGGACATGAACATCTTTGTAGGGGAGGGGCAATGATGTTCACAGGCATTATTCTGTCTACAAGTGACAAAGTTGGTATTGGATATTACCTGTGGACTGAGAGCTTCCTAATGCCAAACTCTGGAATTGAACAGATTTTCTAACTTTGTAGCCCAGGACCAGGCACCCTTAACCCAACCAAGCTGTGCTCCTGGAGAAGCAGAGAACATCAGGACAGTTGCCTAAATGCAGCCTCCTTTAAGAGAAAAAGAGTGGGATGGGTTACACATGTACAGTTTCTCTTTTCAAATTCCCCAATCAGGAAGTCACTGTTCCAGGGAGGAGTGAGCTGGTGCGGGGTAGTAGGTGCAGCTAGAGGCCAGGAGTATCATATTAATGGATGTCACTCCGTATGGAAGGAGACATCATGAGTGGATAATAAATGTTTCCCCAACAGACATATCCCTATCTAAACTCATCATCATATCCCACAAATCCCATCATCGACTGTCACTATTACCACTTTCTACTTACTTAGGTCAGAAACTTGCAGATAACCCAGACCCATCTTTCTTCTCATCTTGCTAAATGTTTCCATCATCTACTCCAGCACCCACACTAGAAACCTGACCTACTCAGTGTTGTCAATTCTACCACCTCAACAGCGCTCACATCCTTCCCTTCCTGTACATTTTCACTGCCAATGCCTTGGTTAGGGTTCTTACCACTAACCTGGAGTACAGCAATGGCCTCAAAGCTGCTCTCCCTGCCTCAAGCCTTGCTCTTCCTGTCCATTTTCACTTCCATACCTTTTACTCATGAAGCTTCCTTTGCTTGGAATTATATCATTTGCCGTTAGTCTCTCCAAACCCCCACACCTCCCAGTCTCCATTTGCCTAAGTATCAAGCAGAACTGGCTAACATCCCCAGGATCAGACTTGCACCTAGGTTACTCTGACTCCAAAGTGCATGCTCTTAACTGTTCTGCTCCACTGCCGACCTTTATAAAGAAGATATTTTCAAGACTAATGGGCTTTATATTTTTAAAGCGCCTTTGCATACATTCTTTCCTTTGAGCCTCACAACTTTCCAATGCAGGAGGGGTAGGTATTTTTGCCTCCATTTATAAATTGAGGAAACTAAAAGTTGGGGGAATTCAAGGATAGGTCCATCACACCCCGCTTTTAAGTTAACGAGTGTCATTCAGCAAGCTTCCCACATTAACCACGGACTCAGCCCCTCCCGGTCTCACTCCTTGGAGAACGTTCCTGCACTTCGCAGAGGTAGCCGATGGGGTCCGCGCCGGCCTGGACCAGGCCACAGCTGTCTCCACCACAGGCGCCCTGGAACCTCGCGGCGGCCATCACGGTGGGGGCCTTCCCATCGCAGTGACGCGATCGGTGACGCCATACAGTGACGTGTGGTGACGTATTACCTGAGGCCGGGTGCCGGCAGGGCAGCCACACCCTGCGGCCCCCTGCTCAGGAGGGCAGCGGGTCGGGTGGGTGGTGGAAAGTCGCAAAACCAGCCTGAGCCGACGTCGGCGCTCTAAACCCTCAGACCCCGCGGGCCGGCGCCCGAACAGCTGCTAAGTGACGCCAGCGCGCATAAGCGCATGCGCGGTCAGGCGGCGTGCGTGGGAGCGGGCGCGCGCCGCGGCGGCATCGGCGGCGGCGACGGCAGCGGCCGAGGGGGCGGTGGCTACGAGGGGGGTGCGGAGCCGGCGGAAGAGACGTCTGTGCCAGCACCGAGGTCGCAGAGGAACCTCGTTGGGGTGAGTCGCCAGGGCCTCGCACGGGAGGTGGGGCCTGGCCGCACCTGCCGCGTGGGTCCGGGGCGCGGAGACGCGCGGCCCCACCGTACCCGCGCGCCGCTCCACTCCCCTCCGCTGCTTTTTCCGGGGGCGGGGAGGGAGCAGGGATGGATCGGGGACGGGGGCTGAAGAGGGTCAGTTCCTGGGCGCGGGCGCTCTGGGAAGCGGCGAGGGGCCGGCGCGGACTCTAGTTCTCCGAGGTGTAGTGGGATGTAGGTGTCTGGGGACTAGGGGGGCTCCGCCAGGCTTCCAAACAGAGGAGTCGGATTCAGGAGAAAGCCCGAGTTCCCAGAGCAGTTTGGCAGCCTGCTTGACGGTGCCCGAGACCCAGAGGAGGCGGAACCGGGGACGCCGGGGTTGGGGTTCGCAAAGTGGCACTGCTGGGGCCTTCATCGCTCCTGCCCTGGCCAGGCTGCGAGGAGGAGCCGGTTGTTATGGAGAGAGTTGTGAATCAGTGCCTGCGTGCGGCGTCAGACACACCCACAACCTAGGGAAGGCGACTGTCAGCGAGGACGGGGCAGCCGAACTGTTGTCGAGAGTTTCCGATTTCACATGTATGTGCACGTGCTTAGTGCACGCACAGAATTTTGTCGCAGGCATTTTATCACATTGTTACTACAGATTTTAAGGCCAAGGAATGGATATCTATCTTCAGTTCTTACTTACACATCGACTCAAATCAGCTGTTTACTTCCCGGAACCATATTGCGTTTGTCGTTATTAGGGCAGAGGAAGTATGGACGCACTTTTTTTTCCCCTTAAAAATCGTACACGCTTGATATTTTCTAAGGAGAAACTTCAGATTCTCTTCTAAGTGTGGGCCAGAAAATGCTGATGGTCAGACAAGCCTTAGCGTAACGGTGCAATAAATCATTAGCCCAGCGCTGTCATTGCTCTGCCTGTGGTGGTAGTAGCGACCGTGCTTAGGAGAGAAGAGTACGGAGGTAGCGAAGAAGTCAAGTCTTTTCTGTCTGTTGATTAAGGCAATGCTTAGAACCTGTAGAATCATAGACTGTACTGTAATTTAGTGATGATTTGTGCAAGAAAAGTGAAGAAAGTACTTACAGGTTCTCATTCAGCTCTAAAATTCTGTGATTCAGTTTTAAATGAGGTTCATTAAAGTTTGTTGCCTGAGGTTCTCACATATTGGACTCAGTAATAACCTTGCTCCTTAACAGAGTACGTTGAAATTCAATGTCTCTTGCTCTCTGGACTATAATGGCTTTTAGGACAGGAATTGCACCGTGTCTCCAGCACCTATAAAAGTGCTTGTCACAGAGTAGGCCCGCGATAGGTATTTGTTATATATCTCACTGAGATGCGTGTGCATCAGTGTATAGCAAGCATTTAGTTAAGTCCTTCGAGTAGTTAATACATGTGCCGCCTCTGCCCAGTATTATGCTATATGTGGGAGGAGTATCATGGGATTAGAAATGACACAGAAGACCTGGCTTTTTTCCTTTAAGAGCAAACTGTCTACTAGGAGAATAAAACATATGTATATAAAATAATTACGAAATGAAAGGAAATGGTATGTTAAGTACTATGTGAGATGCTATACTTTAAGTACAGTAGCAATTTAGAAAAGATAAGACTTGTGATGGCTGAATTAATGAACTCTTTGGAAGAGGTAAAATTTGATCTGGTTTTTAAAAGAAGTATAAAATTTGAATCAGAAGAGATAAGAAATGTTGAGAAAATAGTGTGAATTTGGTCACTGGGGATATATTGAGGAGCTTACATGTTGGGTAAGTGGAGCAGAGGGGCTCTGATAGGGGGAATATTGGAGAGAGATGAGGTTAAGTAGGTTGGGAAGGGTAAGTGTCAAGACTAAGGCAGGCTTATCAGCATCCCACTGAAAACAAGATAGAGACTGCTTGCTGTATGGGATGGGAGTTGTGTTACTCAAAGTAGAATCTTAGGGCAATAATTAGTATTATCCTTGCTTAAAATTAAAGGATATTTTAGTTAAAACAGGATTAGGTTGTTGCATACTTCTGATTTCAATTAATAATTTGAATAAATGTCTCACTAATATACTTGTGTCTTAATGTATTTAGTCAGCAGTGCACGTCTCCTTTTCTAAAATCCATCTGATGTGCTTGGGCCATTCCACTGGAAATTTACTGAAATGATGTACCAAAGCAATTATCCAGCTACTCTCAGTGACACAGTTTTGCCTGGGATTATCTTTTACAGGGCTCAGGAGCTTTGTTGTTACTGCTGATCCTGTAGGAAATAAAAATAATATTAGCTGAGAAAGGAGTCTGTTTGGAGAAGGATACTCAAAAATATGGATAAAAAAATTTGAGAAAATTAAAGATTCTGCTGCTGACTATTGGAACCTTTGGTCTTTGTAATATCTTTTGTTGTTATGTGGGAATTCTTTTGAGTGTGTGTAATCCTGAAGTTGAATTGCTAACCTAAGATGTGTAAAGTTGCACCACCAAATGTTGCATTATTTAAGAACTCAGCAAATACTTATTGGGTGCTGGCTATGGTTAGGCATGGTGTTGGGTGCTGGGAAGACAAGGAATAAGACACAGCATAACTCGAGATACTAAGAGTTAATTAGAGGAAACCAACTACTAACCATGATATGTTGTGATATGAGTTCACCACTTTTGGAGTGAATAAAATGCTGAGGGAACAGATCACTTTGGCTGGGGAAAAAATTGATAGAGCCAGGGAAGCTTAAAAAAGAAGAGGATAGAACTTTGCCCTAAAAGTTAAGTAGAATTTTGCCACATGTAAAAGGGAAAAAAAGCATTCCAGGCAGAGGAGAGAGCAGAAGCAAAGTTCACCAAAGATTAACATTACATGAGTTTTGGAAAACCTTACATTGTTTCTTACAGGTTTCTTGTATGGCAGAAATGATAAGTTAGGAAAGGTATGGTTAGAGCCAAATTATGAGGGGGTCTTCCATTCCATTCTCAAAAGCCTATATACTCACATTCCACCCCCACCCTCATGTTGGTGATGGGACCCTTGGAAGGTAGAATAATCACATTAGGAAGTTTACTGGCATTTGATATTAAGAATTGCATAAGGTGGAGAGGCAGGGAGACCAGTTGTGATACAGGTGAGAGATGCTGGGAACCTGAAAAGAGACAGTAGACATTGATGGATTGTAGAAATATTTTAGGTTTTAAAATCTCTAAATATTATGACCATCTAGAGGTGAGAAAGGGTGAGAAGTCAAAGATGACACATCTAGCTTGATTATGATGACATTAGGAAACAGTAGGAGACAGGTCCACAGTGGAGAGAGGAAATGATGGCATGCTAATTTTAAGGTCCCTGTGTGGAGTTTATAGAGATCCACTAGGTAATTGGAAATTCTATTATATTCCAGAGTTTGAGGCATTTTAGGAGTAATTGTATTGTGACAGCCTTCAAGGCTATAGATACACCATTGTAGGAGTTAGTATGATAGTTAACTCTGTGGATTTTGGAGTAAGAAAACCTGAGGTCATATTTATGTTATGCCACTTAGGGGTCAAGTTGGCTGACCTTGGGCAAGTTGTTTAATATCTCTAAGCTTAAATTTCTCCTGAAAAGTTAAGAATACTTTAGAGAATTGTTGCAGAGATTAAATAACGTAGTTTTTGCAGAATAATTAGCATAATGCCTAGCTTACAAATACTAATAACTGGCAGCTGTTGCTATTAGTAGTAGTAATACTTACAGTTGTAGAGATAGTAGAAGGTATAACTACCTAGAAAGGTGGACAGTGAAAACTGAAAAGGACAGGAAGTGCAACTTGTGGAAATCATCACTTAGATCAAACTTAGTTTGGTTCTTACCTTGGGGATGCGTCAGAAATACCTGGAGGCCTTGGTAAGACACAGATTTCTGGGCCTGCCTCCATAGTTTGTGGTTCAGTAGGTCTGAGGGGACTTGAGAACCTGCATGTTGAACAAGCTCTCAGGTGATCCTAATGCTGACATTCCCAAGAGCACCCTTTGGAACTACTGTTTGGAGAGTAGATGAAATACAGAAACCAGCATGGAGACTAACAAGATTGAGGGTGATAGAGAACCAGGGGAGAGTTTAGAGAGGGATAGAGAAGTAACAGCCTGCAGACTCTTTAGATCTACAGTTCTGCTTTCCAAGTCCATAGACCTCATCTCATTTTTACTTTTGTCTTCTCCAGAATTTGGTATAATGCTTAGCACATAGCACTGTTTGAATAAACATTTGAAGCTTCTTAACACTGTCCTGTGAGTGATCACATGTACTTCACATGCAGATTTTAGTCATCCTCATATCTCTGTTGAGTCACAGAGAAGGTACTGTTTCTAATTTTACATGCACACACACAATAACTAGAAAATCTCTTTCGAATAGCTGATGCATAGGTAGGTGCTTTGACTATGTCTGGTTTATATTAGAGGCCCTATCTATCCCCTTCCCTCCTTTTAATGTCAGAGAATCCATTTTCCAAAAATAATTGTCAATAACGACTGTCAAGATGACAATCTGTGTCTTGTATTCAGTACTTTGCAGGTTTGTAAGGTAAGCAAATAATGCTTCTCTGTACTGAGGAAGTTTACAGTTGGATGGGCAAAACCCAAAGAAAAGGAACAAGAGGAGATAGAATCATAGAAATGTGGATGGAGGGGAACCTGAATATAAGGACTTATTCCTTATTTGTTGATGTACTTTGGATCTTACATTTTTCACATACTGAGAACTTTTGGCACATAGCACAAATGTTAGTCTTAGTCTCTGATAAGTTATGAGAGAGTTCCACTGTATAAGGAAATCAAACAATAGTTGTGCAAAGATAAAAGCATAAAGAGATTTCAGGAATTAAAATTGTAGTTTATGACTAACTTGTTAGCTATTCACCATGCTTCCTGGGCTCTTACTCTTATTTATTCTTTCTGCTAATATCTATTAAGTATTTGCTGTATACTAGAAACTGTGCAAAGTGCTGGGCACAGAGAAATGATAAT